AATATGACTACAGGTAAATCTAACATAGACAATATGACTGCAAGTAAATCTAACAGACAATATGACTGCAGGTAAATCTAACATAGACAATATGACTACAGGTAAATCTAATGTAGACAATAAGACTACAGGTAAATCTAACGTAGACAATATGACTACAGGTAAATCTAATGTAGACAATATGACTACAGGTAAATCTAATGTAGACAATATGACTGCAGGTAAATCTAATGTAGACAATATGACTACAGGTAAATCTAATAATGCACCTGACCAACAGTAGATTTAATGTAGACAATATGACTACAGGTAAATCTAATGTAGACAATATGACTACAGGTAAATCTAACAGACAATATGACTACAGGTAAATGTACTGTAGACAATATGACCACAGATAAATCAAATAATGCAACTGAACCAACATTAGATCTAATGTAGAAAGGTGGACACAGTAAACAAGTAGTACCTGATGGGTTAGGGAGAGACCGATGAATACTAGACAGTGAATGTTATTTATATAATGGAAAGAATGTTATAGGACATTTTACCTGTGGTGTGTCTGTAAACGTGCGTAACCGCTGTAAAACAAGGATCAGTGGGGAGAGTTAAATGTAAAGTGATGGAAAAACCTTACATGATGTATACAGTGTTCTTCCCAGGCCTCTGAAGTATTGTGATACTCTAATGCCTGGAGACTCACTTGTGATGGTTAATGCCACCTGTTAGTTGTACTTCAATTTTAGTTTGTAATGTTAATTTTATTTGGTGCAAATTTTAGAGCATGTATTTCAAGGATCACAAAAACAGTGCAAGAACACAAATTGTCAATGCTACTCAAGTTGTTTAGATAATTATTTATGCAAATATTGGATTATGCAGATTAGATGCAAATATTAGATTATGCAGATTAGATGCAATACTTTGATGAAGTCTGGGAAGAAGACTGTTGTATAACGTCTTGCTCTATCTATCACTTCAGTACTAAACCTTGAAAATGAAGTTTTAATTTTATGTTTTTAGCATGCTCTGCTGGACCCATTTTCTAAAAATTCTGGAGCTGTACGTAAAAAAAAAACTTCTCGATGCATGTATTTAACATCCTTCAATCATACTCAAAACTCTAAAGATGCTCTGTGCTTTCAAGTGTTCGTTTTCAGCAAAAACTCATTGAAAATCCAGTTTTCAGCAAAGATTTTTAAGAAAACTTGATTTTAGCAAAGATTCCTGAGAAAATTAGATAATTTTATATACCCCCGGTACCACTGCAATTTATACATCTAAGCACATTGCAAAATATATTTCAAAATAATTAAATGTCTGCACGATTATGTTTTTTTTTCCTTTGAGAATGTATATCCAACCTTGGGATTACAGGGCTTTATCCAGAATTGTGTACAGTATAGTACAGAAATGATGAGAAAAAAACGTTAAGAGAGTGATGTTTTGAGAAACATTTTTTTTTAGATTCAATTTCTGAGAAAATTTCAGAATTAATGGGTTTTCGCTAACACTTTTCTTGTTTCAATGGTGAACATTTGTTGGCGACTACAACAAATTATGGCATGTTTTCCCACAAATGGATAAGAGGAAGTTTAAACCAAGTATTATTATGAGAAATCATCATAATCCACATAAAGTAAATTAAACATCAACAAATTATAATGTTCATATTAAAAATTAGTCCCCCAGTATACAATAAAAAACCTGAAATGAGTCTGCAATATGTGTGATATGATTTATAATGTCAATGCATATCAGAGATGTATGTGTGAAAGGTATAATTTAAAAAAGAAACAAACTAAAAATCTTTTTTTAAAGGTAAAATAGAACAAAGCAAATAGAGCGTTTCTAGTCAGAAATAAGGAAAGTCTTATTATATATCATTAGAACCAATCAGCACATGTTTACTGTAACATGTGACAATAGTAAGCCAATCAACAAATGGTTACTGCACAATGTGATATAGCAAGCCAATCAGAATTAAGGTAGCGGGACTATTATTTGCTTACTTGTTTTCATCTTCTAATTGTGACCAAATGACCACAAATAGACCCAGGAAAGTATATATTTTTAGAATCGCCAGACTTCAAGCTTTGCAAAGGTGTGTTTGCCATGCCCGTATCTGCATTCTATGACCCGTTACTTAATCAAAGGTGAAAAATTACTTTTTCTGTAAAAAAAATAATTACGCATTTATGCTGGCGATAAGAAGTATTTTTTTCACTTTTCCTAGTTGTTCAATAGTCTGGTAAATTGAATGTGTCTGGTCAGTTTTATGCAAGCAACGCATTTTAAAAAATAGTGTGCTGAATTTCAATTACTGGTTTAGTCGCATTGCCCCTTACTCAAACCACAACTCGTTGGTAAATAATCGATGAAATAGTTTGTCTGGACACATTCAAGTTCCTCTCACTGTCACCTTAAAGCTGTGAAAATTTGGTGTTAATCGGATGACAATA